CCCCGCAGGCCCGCCGGGTTGCGGGCGCGGGGCTGCCATGTGGGCCAGGCTGTGCAGGCCCTGCTTCCCTTCTCTCTCGGTGAACGGGGGGGTGACATGGCCTAGGCGCCTCCTGCCTCCAGCCTGTTAAACAGCCCTGGGTGTCCCCCTCTGCTGCTCCGGGGGATGGAGCTGTCACTTTCTGCCTCGGTTTATTGCCGAGCCCTATCTGCTGTTGTGTCCCTTGCAGGCTCTCACAATGGCTGAGGATTTGAGAGCAGCAGTTGCCAGCCAGACGAAAAGACTGAACAGCAGCAGTGAGGTGGTTGAAAGGCTAGAAGAAAATGGACATCAAAATAAAAGGTTGAAAAGAAATGCGGATGAGGAAGATGCGGAGGATCAGAATAAAAAGTCGCCCAAAAGGAAGATTGTGTTGTTGATGGCATATTCAGGCAAAGGCTACCACGGGATGCAAGTATGTGGTCTGGCAAAACAATGTGGCCTGCTTTTTTTTGAAATATGTTAAGTTTATAACTGTAGTCATAGTGACTGAGTAGGGAAGCTGTTGCAGCTTGAAAAGCTGGGACAGGAACAGTGCATGCCTAGATTCAAATGGCTTGGTAGTAACTTGAATAAAAAAAGTCAGTGATACATCTGTTGACATTTGGTGAGTCTAGTGAGTCTGCCTTTAGTATAGAGCATCAGCAGAAGATCTTTCAAAAACCGTTGCAGACAAGGCTCTTGAGGAGACTGAAAGCATGGGCACTGCAGTTCTGTCAAAACCTGAAGTCCTGTATAGTGATCCCCTTCTGACCAGTGCTCCAGCTTCTGGTTGAAGCTTTACATTTCAAAGCAGTTGGGCTAAGTTTCTTTTCAGTTAAACTTCGAATTGTCTCACTACATGCAGATTCTGAGCTGTGTATGTGAACGAAACAAATTTGCATCTATGTTGCTGCCTGTTATACTTTTTAAAAGATCATCTGTACTTGAAGACATTTTAAATTCTCCTTTTTCTGATGCACTCTAATGGCGTGGCTTGTAGCAGTTTAGAAACAGGGAAACTGTTGCAAGACTTCTATGTTTGCATGTGGAAGAAAAGGGATGGTGCTTTATTACAGCGCCAGGGTTCCAGCAGTGCCCCAGCACCAGACCTCCTGGTGCAGGGATGGTCTTGTGGCACACAGTATTGGCAACCAGAGGATGATGTTGCTCCATCTGCTGCTCCTCTTAGCGTACTGCAAGGTCCATCCACACTCTTGAGGCATACTTGAAAAACTCTATGGGATAATCGATAAGATTGCACACAGACAGGGAAGGGAGTCTTTCATGCTTCTGCAACAAAGTAGATTTGTTCAATAGCAGATAATCTTATGCTTGTGGGTACATCCGTGTAAGTGTCTATCAGCTTTACTGCCCTCATAATTGAATGGTATGTGTCAAGGGTGTGTGCTTTGCAGCCTTACACATGAGTGGAGTTGTGCATTTCTGTTATAGTTCATCTGTGAATTGAGTGCAGAAGTCACTGGAGAAAACCACAGTCTGCATTGTACAACAGCTCAGGTGAACTGAGCAAAAGAATCCAATCTGATTTCTAGAAGCAGAATTTGCAGAGGCTTGGTTTGGAGCAGCAGCTGTTGACTTGCAGACACTGGAACCGTAGTTCATTGGTGCTGTTTCATGCAGTTGAAGGAATCATCAAAAAACTCCATTGCAGAAGTATTGTGCAGTGAAACTAGAAATGATCCTTTACTTGCAGTAACAGTAAAAGGTAAATCAGAATGTAGGTGTTCTATTAACGCTCTCTGGTAAAGTACAGTTAGTTTTGTTAGAGAATGGCAGTGAAGAGAAGACTTTTAAAGAATTTCACAACAATGTTCGATTAACAAAAATTTTCGGTTGTCATCTTCAGTTATCTGATTATTACTATTTGTTCTATTTCTTATTTTTACTATATATCCTCTTTTAGAGAAATGTGGGATCTTCACAGTTCAAGACAATTGAAGATGACTTAGTGTCTGCCCTTGTTCAGTCAGGCTGCATCCCAGAAAACCATGGGGAAGATATGAAGAAAATGTCTTTTCAGCGGTGTGCTCGAACAGATAAGGTAAGCTGGTTAGGGCCTGTGCTTTCATAAAGTCTGGTGTACCCCTGCCAGTGGTACTGGGATTGACTGGTAAAGCGTTGTCTAGAGTGAGATGCAATAGCAAATACTATTCACAGTGAATGTTGCTTGAAACTTCTCCTTTTATCCACTACTAAACTTAAGTACAAGCAAATATTTAGAGAGTGCAGGATACTGATTAGATGGTATTTGTAAAGCTGGTGCTTCATACCTAAACTTTGTTTCTGTCACATTCATCTGCTTCAGCCTCCCAACCTGCTGCTGCTGCTCCTCGTTGTTACTGCCTGGTTGATGCAGTGCTTGAGAGTTTAGCTGCATCTCAGTTGTTTTTAAGCCTGCCACAGTGGGGTCCTAAGTCTGAACTGGAGTTCACAGCTGATCTTATGTAGAAGTAATTTCTTTTCAGTTGATCCTTTACTTAATTGCAGTCAAATTCAGTGAGATGTCATGGAAGGGAGTGCAATGTTCTGCTGTCTAAGATTGCTAAGGTGCTGTATGGCTATACAGCACCAGCAGGTCTTCCAGGAGTACTCTGACTTGGATTTCTGCCTGTGGCCTTGCTTTTGCCTCGCTTCAGCCTGAAATGACCAGTGAGAAAAAGGAGTAGACTTGTTCTTCAGCTATTTCAATTCCGCAAATGCTATCCCAGAGCTTCCAAGGTACATAATTATGTGTTTGTGTGTTTTATGGTTTTTATAGGGGGTGTCTGCAGCTGGACAGATTGTGTCACTAAAGGTCAGGCTAATAGACGACATCTTAGAAAAGATCAATAACCATCTTCCTTCTCACATCAGAATTCTAGGTAAGGATACTGGAATGGGCAGAGAAAATACTTTCAAGAGGAGCTTTCTCCTGCCATGATAATTTTACTCATAAGTGGTTTAGTTTTAACATAAATCCGTGTTATTTCTGTTAGTTTGAAATTAGGATCCTATAAAATAAATCTGTCTTTTGAATATATTTTATTTAAAAAATATTATTGTTGGTAGGAGCGAGATCACAATCAGGTTGTAACCTACTGATTCAAACCTAATGTCACTTTTAAAACAAGGTCTGAAGAGAGTCACTGGGGGATTCAACTCCAAGAACAAATGTGATGCCAGAACCTACTCTTACATGTTGCCAACATTTGCCTTTGCCCATAAAGACCATGATGTGCAAGAAGAGGTTTATCGACTGGACAAAGAGACCCTTGAAAAAGTCAATAAACTGCTTGCGTGCTATAAAGGAACACACAACTTCCACAACTTCACATCTCAGAAGGGACCCAGGGACCCCAGTGCCAAGCGGTACATAATGGAGATGTACTGTGGAGAGCCGTTTGTGAGGGATAGCGTAGAATTTGCAGTGATCAAAGTGAAAGGTCAGAGTTTCATGATGCACCAAATAAGGAAGATGATTGGGCTGGTGATAGCTATTGTGAAAGGTTATGCTGCTGAGTCTATCCTAGAGCGCAGCTGGGGAGAGGAGAAAGTAGATGTCCCCAAAGCCCCAGGACTTGGGCTGGTCTTGGAAAGAGTACACTTTGAAAAATACAACAGACGTTTTGGAAATGATGGGCTGCATGAACCACTGGAGTGGGCAGAGGAGGAGGAGAAGATTGCGGTTTTCAAAGAGCAGTATATCTATCCTACCATTATCAACACAGAAAGGGACGAGAAATCCATGGCGAACTGGCTAAACACCCTCTCCATTCATGACTTCAACTCTTCTGCTGTTGGGATGCAAACTATCAACAAAAATTCAAAGGTAATGATTGAAGCCATTATTTCATCAAATGGAAGCTGTCAAGTTGAAGCAGCTCTTCCCTTAGTAACGTTTTTGTTTTTCCATGAATATGCCATGGAAGATGACAGTCATCTGGAGTATGAAATGTGTATTATCTTTTCCATCTTTGTGCCCTTGACGATAATGGAATGAACTATGCGAAGAGTTACTTTTGCAGGGTTTTGCATGGGGCAGTTGAGGGAGGGAGGAAGGCAGGCTTTGAAGCACAGGCCAATTTGCAGAATCATAAACTGGCAATAGAAATTGTGGATGTGTTACCAGCCTTTGCTGTTGTGAAGACGTTTGCCAGACTAGTTTTCAGGTTGACAGTTTCCCTTTAAATAACTGCTGGCTCTTTGTATCCTAATTCCCATTTTGTGTAATGCCCTGTTCACTAGATAAGGTTTAGAATCAGGGAAATTTAGGACTTTTTTTTTAAAGTAAATCTGCCATGAGCTTAAAATGAGTCATCAGAACAACTCCCACTGATTAAAATGAGATATTGCAGAATCTGATTTCTGACTAACAGGAACTGCTGTCAGCTGTAAGTTGCAGTAAAACAAAGGTGTAGAATACATTTTTAACCAAAAGAAAATTGCAGTTAAAGATTTTTTTTTTCTGGTTGAGGTGTAGAATAGCCTCACAAGAAAACAGTGGAAAGATGTTTAGGGTGTGCTAGAAGAGGTTGGAAACCACATGAGGAAGCTTGAATCAAACTTGCAAAGTATTTAAAGAAAATTGAGCACCACTAGAGTGACTTAAAATACAGTGGTGTTTGATTGGACAAGTCCCTGATCAACCCAATCTCACTTTGAAGCAAGCCCTGCTTGAGCCAGGGAGTTGGACATGATGACCTAAAGATACCTTACAGTTCTGTATGTAATTCAGATTTTCTTGGTCAGAGGACTGGCAAATCCTTGAAGGATGAATGATGGGCAGGGCTAAAACATCTGTGTAGTGTAACTCAGAAGAAAATAATGACCTTTTTTCACTTCATGGAGTCCTTAAAATTAGCTTTATTTTGTGTAGATAATGATCTTGTATTGAATAACATTAGGTTTAATCCTGTCTCTGCCATTTTTTATTTGAGTATGAGAAAGAGTTTCAACATATAAAATAAAATTTACAGCCTCGTTGAATAGTACAAGCAAGATACCAGAAATTTCTCAGTTATTTTTGTAGTTGTGATAATTGTTTTTCTGAACTGTAGTGCTGTATGAGCACATCTGTGACAGGAGGTTATGACAAATGCCACATTAGTTTGGTTAAATGGGACCCAAAGAGACCATGTGGTGCAGAGTCCTTACCTGGTTCAGGGGTCTTGATGATAATGTTGACAGGACTTACTGCTGACAGGTTCAAAATCACTGATGTATTGCTAGCAGGAGGCAGGTCTGCTTGCTTTAGATAAACTTGACCAAATACATTTTTGGCATCACAGTTAGCACAAACTATCTGGAGAAGGATAAATATGGGATGATATGACAGACTCCTTTGAGATTTTGCAGGGTGTTTGTGCTTCAGTGAGCTGTGCTCGCTGTTATGAAGGCAACTGTCTTAAGTCTCTCAGAATTTGTTTTGTAGTAGGGTATTAAATCAATGTTAAATCCATGGGATTTGGAGGTTTACATGTTTTCAGCAAGTGGTGGTGAAAAAAAAAAGGAGTAACTACAGGCATATTGTCATGTTAGCCTTTCTTTATCAAATTCTTTGATGCCAATCATATCAGTCAAAATACTTGCTTCAAAAAATTACGTAAGCCCCCGAAATTTATTGCACCGTATTGACTTACTCCTGAAGGAGTGGCTCCCAGTTAAGAACTGACTTCAATTTCCTTGTAAGTTGCTAACACTTGTCCCTAATACTACTTTGTACAACTGACTTCATTTTTAAGCAAGTATTAGTGAGTCCTTGCATATATCTAATACAGTTTGGACATAAATTCTCTGTAGCAGGCAAACAAAATTCTCAAATCTAGCTTTAGACAATGTAACAAACTTAGCTTTTGAGGGACTTGCATGGAAAAAGCACTTTGTAACTTGTCCCACCTGCATTTATTTTAAGCATCAGTATTTCATGCTGTTATCCCACTTTTGAGTTTCCTACATACTGCAGGTTGTATCATGCAGTTGTAAACATAAATGAGAAGAAATTTCTTCTGCTGGTGAGTGTAATCCACTATACAACTTTTTTGCTACAAGAAGCGTCATTTACCATCACAGAGGTTTGTTAGAATAGGTGGGTCTAAGACATGAATTTGGGATCTAGCCCCATTTTCTTATTCTTTTGGAGATGTTTAAAGGCAATGTCTTTGATTTAGGTCAGTCTCTAGATGTAAATGAAATACTGACTAACTATTTTCCATTTTACTTTACAGAACAGCAGTGATCTTGAAGGCAGTGATGGTTGTGATGATTCCGACTGAGCCAGTAAGTGGCTGGTCGTGGGACCCTTACTGCTTGCGATTCCCTTTGTCTACAAAAAAATGGCCTTTAAATACAAGAATCCAGTAAAGCAAGGGTTTGTGTGCTTAAGGAACAAGAACTGGATGCCCAGGAGAAACTGGGTGGGGAAAACAGTGCAGTAGAAAACGTAAAAGAAGCTTTTTATACCACTGACTGATTGATCTGACTGGTATACTTGAAAATAGTGTAATGAGAAAGAAGCTTTCTAAAAGAACCTTGTAATGGAGGCTATCTTAATTGCTATTTGAATAATGTTTTTATTATATGTTTACCTGGAAAACAGTATTTTAAATATGTAGAATCGCTACATAAAGATGGCGCAAAACATTTTAATGTACTCTTTTTTTATTATTATTATGAAGTTACAACTCTATGAACTTTTTTTTTTTAATTATTATTATTTTCTTCATCTTTACTTAACCTGATCTCTAAACACCATTAAGCTTTTATTTTCCATGTCATCCGTGACTTTCTTTGGAATAACATGCATGGGTTAGGAACTCATTATCATGCTGACTGCTGTGAATTCTTTTGGTATTGAAACAAATTTTCTGTGTTGCAAGTCTAAAAGAAATGAGTCCTTACTCTGTGAGAGGTGTTAATTTTGGAACGTGGACTGAATCATATATTTCAAGATGAAACCTGTCCTTTGGGATATGGCATCCTCCCAGTATTGCCCGCACGCTTGGGCAGACTCAGGAATATAGATCTGCAGCTACGTGTGTAATTAGGCCTTTACTGCCTGAGCTGTCGTTTCACACTCCTGTAGTTGAGATGTGAGGAGAAGACGTAAATGAATTGTTAGGACTGCTATTCAAACTGTGCAGCCATGAACGTTCTACTGTTGCCTGTGGTGCATCACTAAATTATTGCTGCTGGTTTAGTGTTTCTGGTTTTAGTGGAAACTAACTAGCCATCTGCTAGATTCCGGGTTGAATCAGCTTAGCATGTGTGAAAGGAGTGGTGCTGACTTCCTCTGGGCTTTGATCAAGTCTGCATTTACTTTGTGTGTGTGAACTCTTAATTCCTATCAAGCTGCTCAGAATAGAGGAATGTGTGCAATGATATGGGAAGCACATGTCTGAACTGTCTTCCTTTGGGAATCCATTTTAATTTTCTGTGGTTTGGGGACCTGCATACTCTGGAGTTCTTGCTCTCCTTTCCCCAACTGTGGTTTGACTTCTAGTTCTTGTTTCCAATTCTATGTGGAGGTGATAGGAAAAAAAAACAACAACAAAAAACAAGTAAAGGCAGCAGCCCTCCTGCTCTCCCTGGCTGTAGAACACTTTTGGAAGGGGTAGAAGAAGACCCTCCAAGTGTTTGGGTATTAGTACAAGTGCTTGATACACTTCCTTAGCTGGGTCTGTATGGAGACTGACTTTGTAATATGGTCATTACTGAAAATGAGGCGTCAACTCTGCTCCTTCATTCAGTGGTTTCTGGCCAAAGCCTGTAATTTTATGGCTCCTTCTCGAATCGGGGGGGGTGGGGTGGTGTGTTTTTTTTTTTTGGCCAGAGCACAGCTGTCCTTTAAAAAGGGATTTACTTGTTTATTATATCTGGGTTTTAATTAGAGCTTTTTATTTTATTGTGAAGTCCTTGCTCCATTTTATGAGAGCAAGTGTGTAAAAGTCTTCTGGAGGGGGACTCCACGTAGATTTTTCATTTATATCCCTTGCTGGTTCACACTATTGATGTAACCTGCATTAGCCTTCTATCCAAAGCGCTCTCTTTCTATCCCTTTCAATCTGAAAAAAAAAATACATTTGCTTATAATAAACACCACAAAACTGACATGTGTCTGGTTGAAATCAACGAGAACTTCTCTTTACAGCGTTTGGAGAAAACTAAATAATAGCAAGAATAATAATAATAAAAAAAGGGGTATTTCTTACCTCTTGGTATGCCTGCTATCTTATTTCAGGGGAATTATTCATTTGGTATTTCAGCTCCATTTTCAGTGCGGGAGCTGAATAAAAAAATAATAAAAATTCTATAATGGACTCTTTGAAAGGATGCAACACTAAGCTGTGTTATGGGGAGAAAATAAAAGACTGGGCGCTGTGGTAGATCCAGAAGGCTGCTGCTGTGGGCCGAGGCCTAGGACGGGCCCTTTCGCCTCCTGAGCCCGGACAGCCCCTGCCAGGTGCCTGCATTTCGATCTTCCCCACTGGTGACTCCGCGTGGGGCTCTGGGATGCTGCTTGCGAGCCGCCTGAGGGGAAAGGCTGTATTTCAAGGGAA